CATTTACCATAAAACAGTTCATCCAGTGTTTCTCTTGTTTAACAAATAAATTTATTTCATTTTACCTATAGAAAACTCACACTAACTGTTTTCCTATCTAGGTAAAAATCTGTTTAACAACCTGTTAAAATACATCAGAATGCAGGAAATGACATTTATTTATTCAAAGATTTTCTGGGGGAGGACCCCCAGACATCATGAACATCTGTTGGCAAATCCATAGCTTTCTATCGCCATTGTTTTCAATTTGTCATTTTTACAAACACATCATAAAATTTGTTAAAGATATTAGATTTAGTGTGCCACCCCTGGTCTTTCAGTGCCCCCCCCCTTCCTGTGGCCCCCCTGAAAAAATTTTCTGCAGGCGCCACTGAAATCAAGTCTATATTGGGGGGAAAAAACTAGACTATTTAGACCGTATTCATCCTTGGCTGCAGTTGCAACCTTTGTGTTTTCATGTTGAATAAATATTTATTGACATTTTCATTTATTTGTTTTTGTCTGACAGGAGCAGGAACTCTGCAAACACAAGGCCTTTTTCTTTATGTTCCTGCATTTTCCTTTTCACAGTAGATTAAAGCTGTAACTGTGCTTGTTTTATGTTTTGTGACAGTAAACTAGATTTCTTCAATGATTAATTTGCTCCGACAGGATATTTATCTAGTTCATCAGTTTCTAACGATCCTTTTGATTTGAAGATCAGTCCTCGGAGGRAAGCTGACAGAACGTAAAAAGCATGTTCTTTGAGTGAAAACACCAAGTGCACAGCTTTTAAATAAAGACAAGTGTGAAGTGTGTGTGCACACACAGGGAACAGGAGCCATGCTTGCTGGTGTCTTAGCAACAGCCAACAGGAAGGGAAACGGCACCAGAGGAGAGCAGCACCGTTACTGGACCACAGGTAAGACAGGCTGATGGAAATGATTCTGTTTAATTTGATCATTTTATCTTTAATCACATGTAGAAGTTAAAACTTTGTTTCAGTTTGTTTGAGAGCATCGGTAGCAACATTCATATTATTATTTGATAAAGTTTCTACTTCTCCATGCCGTTTTAGTACAATTTGAGAACCAATTAGAGTAAATGTTTAATTTTTCCTTGGGTTTATATATTTTATCATTAACTTTGTTTCCTTTGTGACACAAGATCATATGGTTTACATTTCAATTAGACTAAATTTTAAAGCAATTTGGTTAACTTTTATTGTTTTTACATACTATATGAATATATTAGGGCTGTGAAATTAATTGAGTTAACTCTGATTAATTTCAGTGCTGCATGGGCACAGATTAAAAATTTTAATTGCGATTAAAATTACCACGGCTGAATATGTAGGTTTGTATATTACAATGCACTCAGTGCATCATGCCAGGTCATGTTTGTAAATGAGAAGTGGTTCTCAAACAGTTTACCTGGATAAATAAAGGTTAAATAAAGAAAATAAATTTAAAAAAAAACTCCATGTGTAACACATTATGTACAGTTTTTTCTTTTTTTCTTCTTATGGCCTATTATATTTTATTTATTTATGTTTTGCTGACAA